AAAAAAAAAAAAAACGATAGCTTACAGATAAACGTAATAAATTTTGTTCTATGTGTAACTTTTTTGACAATTATAACAATGATTAGCATTGAAAAATTTTAATTTTTTTACATGGTTATTCAATTGAAAAATTACCTGTAAAAAAACAGATTATAAATTACCTTTTTTCTTTACTTCTTCGCTAAATTTTTATATGCCAAATAACTATTTACTAAACAAACGATAAAAGTTCTTATAAGACACAAAACTATCTTATTTACAGCATTTGATGAATTACCTAAGTGAAAAAAAAGAAGTAAAGATACGAAAAAAAAAATTTAATAAAATTATAAAAAAAATAAATCTAAAAATTGTGAATAAAAAGTCAATAAAAAAAATTTTTTTTCAACTTTATTTTTTGTGAGTAACAAAATGTGATTTTGAAACACAAAAGGTTCGTTCTTATTGCCAAGTTCTGTGACTGTTCAATTAGTACAGTTGTTTTAGAATTATTTCTTTTAGGTTTCATCAATTGTGGTAAAAATTCTATTCTTTTCGTCGTTTTCTTAAAGAATAAAACACGAGGTTTTTGTTTGAAACGTTTCTTTTTTTGAAAAATACAATTTTGGATCATTTAAACAATCTTCAAAATAAAAAAAAAAGCTTTCAGCCTATAAAGGTCTTTCCTCTGCATTGTCGTTAAGTAACTCTCATAAAGTAATTGTTGATTTTTATTTGCACAGTTAATATTTCTACAGTCTACTAACCTCAGCAGCAAAGACACCTTAATAAAAACTATACAGCTAAAAAAAAAATCTTGTTTTTTTTTTTTTTTTTTTTTTTTTTTTTTTTTTTTAGGTTTACCTGGGAAATCATATCGAATTGTTATAATTGACATCAATGCACAGGCAACCATTTCGATGAAACCAAACATTAGGCTTGCATTTAGGAATATCTGAAGTGTCAGGTTGTCCGGTTGTTCAAAGATAAATAGTGACCGTTTTGCATAGGCAAAAAATAGTCGTATTGCTAACGGAACACAGGTAACCACTCGGAATATGCAATTTCCAACTAAATTTAGCTCAAATAGTCCAAGCAAAGATGGCAACTGCTTATCCAGTAGAGTTGTTGAAATATTCTGCAATTATTTTCTAGGGCTATCGTTACGATTTAGCGGAGTGAATGTTAAATGTAAATTCTGAATTAACCGCTTATTCTAATAATCTTTTGAAAAGCAATTAATTGTAACAGTAATAAAAATAAA